GTGAAGTACTAATCATTTATTTTTTGTTTTTAAATCTCATTCACAAACTGAGTATCAGTTGTTGGAAAGTCAACAAAAAAAATCTATCGAGCAGATAGTTATTTTTTCTAAATTTAAATTCTAGTGAGACAGTAAAGACATTGCCTAATTTAAAATGTCATTTTTTGGTATTGATATAATCTTTTGCATAAATGCATGTATTTAATAATGATGCAAGAATGTCCAGCTCAGACAGGGTTCTTCTTATAGTAATATAGCTGTCTTTTGTGCATTCATTCTGTATCTCTTCTAACTGCATTATTTAGTCTGCAAGAAAAAGCTACAACAAAAGTTAATGGAGACAAATGCTACTGTCCTAATGTCACAAGTTTTTAAACTTTACATTAAAATTCTAATTTCTTGCATTTTACAGACAGAAAATCACAAACATAAGGCAGTGCTAAGGCATTAACTAATTATTTCTGTCCTGTGGCGACTGCTGGAGGGATTATTTTGCTCTCCCTCTGTCTCCTAGGCAGCTTAACAGTGACTGTAGTAGGCATGACTGACCCCCACAGAAAGAAAGTAAACCTCTCCTGTTTGTTTGTCTTCACAGTTTAGAAAAATTGTATGACATGAATTCCATCAAGCTTGATATAAGTTGTAACAGTTTGGCCTGGTGACACGTCCGGCCACTGAGCAGATATCAGAGTGGCTGCATGTGGGTGCTCTCCCCCAGTAGTCCTAACTGGTTCCACTCCAAACATCCCTCCCTCTGTGCAACAGGAGGTAGAGACAGGAAGCAGCTGAGGTGCAGCTTGGCCTGCTGGGAACTGAACAACGGTCAATGGGCTCAATGCAGGGGGACTAAAAATACGCAACGTCAATAGTCCTCAAGATAAAAGAACGTAAACTGCTGATGCATCTAAAATAACAAAATGACTGTGTTATCACAAGAGAGAAAATCATCTGATCACTCAGAAAAAGCTTTAGTGTGAGCTAATTTAAGGCTTAGTCTGGATGATGTCATCCAGACTGGTTGTGAGCATTTCCATGCTTTCATCAGCTTGACTTACTGCTGCAGGTGATCTTAGAACAGGAAGCAATTACAGCTCTTTTCTTTTTCCTCATTGACGCATGAAAATATCCACTAATGGACACTCCATAGAGATGTCATCTTTTGAAGTAGCCACAGTCATTCGACCAGCCACAACGTTCACACAACTGCCTGACTAATAGGATTTTAGCCACTCAATCATTTAACATTTCCACCCGTTTTTTTATCTTGTTTCAACAAAGAGACTAAATGTTACTCTTACTTGTTAATTTGTTTTACACTTTGGCTTTCCTTCTATGTGGGTTGATGGCACCAGCTGTGTAATCACCTATAACAATTCAATTCAATTCAAAGATTTTTTATAAATCCCAGAGGGAAATTAGAGTTTCAGTACACCCAATTCTGAGATCAGACATACATAGACTTAGACACATGACAAGAATTGGTGACTGCGGTCATTCGCAACCCGAGTCGCGCTACCTTAATAGTAATCAGAGGGTTTATATGAGGATTGAGTCAGGTGGTGGAAAAAAAAGGCACTTCAGAGTTACCCTCCACAGGGAGGGCAGCTTTGCTATGCAAAAAACACCTCAGACAGAAATGCAACATACTTCAGACATTACACAACATAAGTGTCCACTAGGTGGGGTGGTAGGGTTGGGGACTCTCTACAAATCAGTGCATCTAATGCAGGGTTGTCAAACTCATTTTAGCTCAGGGGCCACATTGAGGGAAATCTAGTCCCAAGTGGGCCGGACCGGTAAAAACAACTTCAGATTGTTTTCTTTGTTTTAATACAATCAATATAAAACAAAGCTTGAGCATGAGGACAGTGTATCCAAAATAGTACAAGTATGACACCTGAAGTGTACTTGAAAATTTGGAAAAAAATTTTAAAAATCAATAAATAAAAAAACATTCCTTAGTGATTCAAAGAGCTTACAGATCACAAGGCAAGATCAGTTTCATGCAGCACTTAAAGTATATTTGACTCATTTTACTTAACATCTTTTAGCTTTCACCAGCACATCAATATCAGAAGTCCCATCCTGAGTGGCGGCCATCTTCAGGATGTGAGTCAAGTTCTTGTGTGAGCCTTGAGCGCAGCTTTGTTTTATTTATACTCATTACAGAGAAAACTTGCTCACAAAGATATGTTTATTTTCACTCTACATTTTAAAGTATGAAAATAAAGTTTACACAACCATCTCGCGGGCCAGATTTAACCCGTTTGCGGGCCGGATCCGGCCCGCGGGCCGTATGTTTGACACCCCTGATCTAATGGATTGTAGTTTGAGCTGCTGTAAATTAAATTACTAAAACAATTTTATGATAATAGTTTCATTTGATAGTTGTGTTATAGGGCTGGGCAATAAGTCTAAAATTTATCGTTATCAAAATTTCTGACTTATTGATAATTTTTCCCATGTCAATAAATTTCATAATAAAAAAATGAAAAGATGTGTGAAGGTTGGCAACGTTCATGTCCCTTTAAAAAGCTGTACCACCTTGAATCACGTCAAAATGTGAGTCAACGTAATACACATGACAGGCCCATCTAGTGGGCAACTTTTGTTTCTGCGCATACCTGTAGTTATCGATCAATTTATCGTTATCAAGGTGAAATCCTCAATATATCGCAATATTGATTTAGGCCATATCACCCCGCCATGTTGTGTTATTTAAACATTTAATTATTTTGTGGTGCTCATCTCTTTTATTGCTCTGTAGTTCATCAGTTTGGTTATTTTGTTTAAAGGTGTGGTTCACTGAAAACTAGGGCTGCACGATATTAGGAAAACCTGCGATAATCGATAACAGTGCTTAATATTGCGATATCGATATTACTCACGATAAATGAACAAATACTAAAGTATGCAGTGTTGATGTCATCTGGTGTGTGATGTCTGCTCTGGGTTCAAAGCAAACAAAAACTAATGCATGAACTCTATTACAACATAACATTTTTATTGCAAAAATATGCAGCTGCACCTGTATTAGCAGCGCAACAGCTAATTCCATGCATGCAGTTTCTCAGTGACTTTAAAATGTCACCACCACCATAAAACTTTTTCTGATGCTCCAAATACAGAAAAACATCCCTTACCAAGGTTTCTTGATAAATAACAAAATCAGAAAATAAGTTTAAATGTTAAATAATAGATGATCTTCAATCGATATGGATTGATCAGAAGTTGCTATTGTAGTGTTTATTTGAAAACTATTTACAGAGCAGCCTCAGAATTGAGATTAAATATTTTTAATCACAATAGTAAAGGAGCTATTACAGAACGAGTTTTTCAATACAATCAGAACATTAATATTTAAGTGCATGAATTATTGCATCTGAACTCATGCAGTAGGAACTAGGAAATATGAAATACTAGAACCATTTTATTTAAATTTGATTAAACTGATTTTTTCCTAACGTTGTTGGCATTTTTCCCCACACACAGTTAAACCAAACAATGTTGATTGAGAGAGCGAGGGAGAGAGTTAAAATAATAAACAAATAAAAATAAAAACTCGACCGGAGTGGAGGCAGTGACTGACGCATGCACTAGTCGTTTTCAGCTCTGTCTTGTCAAATGCACCACGTACGTTACGAGAAAAGTAACTTTAAATATTCAACCGAAAAAGAGGCGAGCTGAAGAAAACCTAGGGAATACTGAAGAAACATGAGCAACAGTGAAGCAAGCACAGAGAGATCCATTACTGTATGTGTGTGTGCGTGGATGGGCCGGACGGACTGAGCTCCCGGCTGCAGTTTTGTGTGTAGGGAGGGGCGGGTGCTCTATGTGACTGGCCAGTCACAGAGCGTGAAGACAGTCAATTACCCAATGAGGGTTTTCCGTCAGCACGATTACAGATATTTACGAGTTTTACTTGTTTCATGCTCGTATTCATCAAAAATGCTTTATCCGTACCGGATACTAGTCTGAAATGAGTATCCGGCTCATCCCTAGCTGTAACCACCCTGCCCTGCCTCCTCCTTGCTGCCTGCCGGCTGTGATCACAAGCAACAACAGTAGTTCCCGCTGCTTCTTCGGGAAATGGCGCAAAAAAAAAAAATCAATAAAACTTGGTATCTTGTAGGCGTGGCGCTGGGATTTCAGCCGTGGCGGCCCGCCATGGCTACGCCTATGTAAGGGAAACACTGAGCAGAATAAAGACGTCCAAAAAGTGTAGAATGCTCCTCCTCCCGCTACATGCTTGCAGTCACTGCCATTCTGTTGTTCCAATGTCGGCACGGGTGCACATCTTAGTGGCATCATGTGTTATCGCAATATCGCGGTAGAGCCAAAAACGTATCATTATCCAATTTTATATTGTTTCTACCGTATATTGTTTATATTGCCCACCCCTAATTAATTATTTAAGTTGACAGATTGGACAAGTAAAATGTAATGTGTGTGTGTGTGTGTGTGTGTGTGTGTGTGTGTGTGTGTGTGTGTGTGTGTGTGTGTGTGTGTGTGTGTGTGTGTGTGTGTGTGTGTGTGTGTGTGTGTGTGTGTGTGTGTGTGTGTGTGTGTGTGTGTGTGTGTATTGACATATTTGTAATATTAGCTTATTACCCCATTACCCACTGGGCAGATTTGACTGAAACTCAATAAGACATAACTGGGTGTGTTTCTGCCACTGACTAGTTTTGAAGGTGAGTCAAGGTGGGCTCCACAGTTAATGAACATTGGCAATCACCTAAAGGGTGATACTTCAGTCAGTTTTACAGAAATTAACCTCAAATGTATTGTGGTCATATCGGGAAGTCCGTAACGCCCCACACTTTGTGTGCCTTCAGGTTGTGCATGATCTTGTGCAGCTGTGTTGTGATAAAGAGATTTGACCACAATGGCAACTAGAAAAATTGCATTTGTTGCACAAATGCTGTTTGAATGCTGGACAGCTGAAACTGTAAGCTGAAGCCGCCAAACAGCTGAGCTGAAGCTGAAACAAAGCAGAACTG